GAGGTGGAGGAGGAGGAGGAGGAGGTGGAGGAGGAGGTGGTGGAGGAGGTGGAGGAGGAGGTGGAGGTGGTGGAGGAGGTGGAGGAGGTGGAGGATAGTCCGCTGCGGCGGTGGAAACCGGAGAGAGGCCTCAACGGGAAGGGAAGGGAGGGGACGGAATGGGAGGAAGGCAGCTACTGCTGGGACGTGATGAGCCGAGCCGGCTGCTGCTGCTGGGACGGCGAGGGCTGCCCGGGACCACCGCCCAGCTGCTGCTGAACCGGCAACCACCCAGTGGCCCTGATGAGTGGTCCATTATTCAGGAAGCGGAAGGGCTGAATGTGCGGAGCGTGTTGGGCGCGCTAGGAGTGACTGGGGCTGGGGGGGAGAAGACCTGGCTTTATCATGTGCTGCACGTGTGGGGGGGTCCGGTAATCCCTCCCACGGGGGGTGCCGCCGGAGTTGTTTCAGAAATGGCGGCGGTAGTGCTGTGGGGGGTTTTGTTAGCGCTGCGAGAAGCGAATGGTTATGAAGCTGATGTAACTGTTTGTACTCCTGGTTTGCGAGTTGCTGTTCGCGCTGTAGGCGTGTGAGAAGTTATATTTTGAGATTATGTATGTATGTATGTTAGGGCAGAGGCTCACTACATCGACAGTAACAACGCTGCCGGTGGGACGAGGTCCGCAGACAGATCAGCCACCGGGCGGTTCAGGAGGCTCCACACACACACACAAATACATCCTTAGGGTTTTATACCCCTTAGCTCAGACTGCTGCTGCCCACTGATATCACTGACGCGGATGTGTATTGCGCAGCGTGCACATGACGGCTATAAGTGAGGAGCTGCATGAGGAACGTTTTATTTGTGGGTGCCGCATATGCTCCGTGCGTGTTGTTAAAGCATTCAACGGTCACTTCGGCCAGCCCCGTTCACTCTCCCCCCCGCTTAATACACATGGGCTCAGCAACGCCAGCTCTTCCCCTCAGTGTCGAGGCCTCCTCTACCCCTTAGGCATTCCCCCACAGCCAACTTCTCTCCTGCCCCTCTAGACACCAGCTTAACGCCCACAACACTCCTCATCTGACTACCGGAACCCCCTCCTCTCCCTCGCGCTCCCTCCTCCTCTCATTGCACCGCAACACCGGCAATCAGCCTTGCCTACCTCACCCACCCCGCCTTACCTACCTTCCCCCACCGCCCTCGCCTAACACCCCCATGTCCCCGCTCCGATAGATACCCACCACAACACGCAGCCGCACCGCAGCCGCCTGTCAAGTGCCCACCCACTTGCAACCTGACAGCAAGTGCCCACTTGCGAAGGAGTAGCAGCGACAATAAATGGTTAGTTGGATTAGTCTTCTCTGACCGCCGCCGCCGCCACCTCCTCGGAGGTCAGAACCCTCCGTCCGGATGCCCCGCCCGCCCCCCGGGTGGGGTGCATGTGTGCAGCGACTGCCAAGCCACTGCACTAGGGGCGACGTGCCCCTCACAAACGCACACATGGACATATTCACATGGACATACACACGTATATACAGCCACTTGAGGTCCTCTGGTCCTTGTGACTTCCAAACCTCTCTTCCCTCACACACCCACTCAAGCACCCGCTCCCACACACATACACGCATATTCCTGGACGCGCCACCTCCTCCCCTCCCGTGTCTGTGTGTTTGTGTCTCGTCAGTCCCCCAACGGGTAGAGGATCCTCACCACCACCACCACCACCACCGCGATCATCATCACCCCCAAAAAGGCCTCCAAACAGGAGGTTGTGAGTCTTGGTCACCGCTGTGCATCTCACCTCTCACCGCTCACTCACCCAATTCGGGTGGTGAAGTAAAGTAAAGGCCACAGGCGGGGGTAGGCAGGTAGTCAACAGCGCAGCGCAAGGGATGCACGTGAGACCCACGGGGGGGGAGCAGCGGGCCCCGGACCGGTATGCCGCCCAGAGAAACCCCACAAACCCCAGCTACTCATTCCCTCACAGAGTAAGGCTCCGAGCAATAGCCCCTCCAGGTCAGGTCGCCACTCGCACAGTGAGATGGTACTGCTGCAAGGGGTGACGAAACTTCGAAACGCCCCCCAAATGGCGTCCGAAGGTCGCGATGTGCTGTGCTGTGGTGTGCTGTGGTGCGAGGTCGCCCCAAACAAGGATACCAACCTGATGCCCCCCCCCCGGCCCCCCCCCGCCGGGTGGAGGACCTCCGTGTTATTCCGCTGCGAGTTGTTGTGTAACAGGAGCTGCAGTTCGCACCCAAACGAGAGCCGTACTGCACACACCCAAATACACTTACGAGAAAGTACGCATACATACATACATACATACATACACACACACACGGACCAAAGGCAGTTTCATCATCATCATCATCATCAATGGTTCATCATCACGCCACCATTACTACGACCACCATACAGCGCTGGTGAAGTATCAAAATATCGCTGTTGCCCGCCCCCCGAATACTCCCCCCCCTGGCGGGGCCCCGCAACATGTCGTCAACTTGACACCGGCACCGGGGTATTTCTCACAACACCAGCACCAGCACCGGGGATAATGACCACCAAACGCAAGAACGAAGAAAAGGCCGGAAACTGCCCCCCCCCCGGGCCCCCCCGGCCGACCTCAACCGACACGGCAGGTTAGCATGAAGAAGGGCGGCGACCGCGGGGGTGTTGCGTCAAGTGCTCTGTGGCCGCAGAAGAGGAGCAAAAATGAAACCCGAAATATTAAGTCACGTGGAGACGCACATACATACATACGTACATACATACACATTCGTACTTTTACGTATTATACGGCAGACGGCCTGCGTGGTACTCTATCGATCAATAAACGACTAACAACGCGCCGCGACGGACCCCCGCGGGAGATAAGGCAGATCCCGTCGCGACAGAAATAGCGCCACAGCAATCTGTGCTGTGCTGTGTGTGTGCGCTGTGCCTGAAGAAAAAGAGTTTCACGCCGGGCGGCGGTAGGAGGCTCCGAGTGACCACAAACACGACAAATAAGAGCAATACCCACACAGCACAGCACTGCTCACCTCCACCCGGCGCACTGCGCAGCGGACTGGCCCGCTGGCTAGCCTACATTCCGTTTCAGCCAGTGCCGTACTGCTGTACGGGACGAGGACGACATACCTCCCTAACGCGCCTTTGACTTCCTAAACCCTGAAACATTCATACATACAAATACATACATAATTAAAAACTGACAAGCTCCAGAGCGATATCTTAAAACCAACGAACAGCAACAAAACAGGAAAAGGGGGGATGCGTCTGAAGCCCCCCCCCACCACCACCCCACCCACCTAACAACCCAACCCCCCCCCCACACACACACAACCTCAAACCACACAAAAGCCCAGATAGGTGGTACAGCCATTCACAGCCACAGCCACCACACAAACCGGAACGCAACAGCATGTGTAAGCAATATGAACAACCTAAGATCTGACAGCCATCTAAGCCCCCTACCTACCTACCTACCTACCTACCTAGCAGGGATCCAATTATACAATACACACATACACATACACATACACACACGCTCGCGCGCACACCCCTCAGTCTCCTCCTCCTCGTCAATGGCGGGGGGATCCCCGGACACGAGCCCCTGAGCCCAGGACCGCCCCCTCCTCCTCCCCCTTAGGCTGCTGCTGCTGCTGGTCCGCTGCCCCCGGTGGCGGCGACTGCTGCCACTGCTCGTACCCCGGCGAGGTGGGGCGCCCGTTGGCACCACCACCACCACCTGCTGCTGCTGCTGGTCGCGAAGTG